CTGGGAGACTTTCATATTCCACCCTCTGTTTTTTTCCTTGAATAGTGAACTGTGCACACAATGGTTTGGTCAAGTCGAGAACGACAGCAATTCTAGCATACTTCCCCCTTGTCTGCGTTGCAGTTTGATAGTCTATCTTGACGACTTTCCCAACGATTTGGCCTATTGAACGGAAGATTTTCTTATGGTACAAATGCACCGGCATGCCCGGTAAACGAATCCACGCGACAGTAGTGGTTATTTGGTCGACCGTCTCATCAAAGGATTCCGTCCATGGTTGAACATGCAAGTAATGCTGACTGATCACCCATGGCCCCTCAACCAAAGCTTTCACTGCGTCTTCTTTAGTTTTAAACCGCACATAATAATACCCATTTTCCAGGTCCACCATCGGGCAGTCTTGAATGAACGGCCATAAGGATAGTAGACGTCGGAACAACATTGGCATGCTCATGGTCAGACCCAAGAGCTTGATGGCAACCACGTTGTCCCAAGATTTAATAAGCGATTCCTTGAAAGCCGAAGAGAGTTGTATGTCCGGCTCGGTTTTACTAAAGTCAACAGTCACGTCTGTGTCCTTATCCGAGTCCTTCTCTTCATCCGCATCCAGAACCACATGTGGACGATTTTTCGTCAGCGTGTCCCGAAAGCTTAATTTAGTGACATCCGGAGTGGTAGCCGGCGGTGAAACAAAGGGTTTAGTGCCATTAGGGTTTGGTGGAGGCAAATTATTCGATTGAGCTGGGGCAGAGTCCAGAGGGGTTCCCGACCGCTTGAGAGTACGTGGTTTCTTTGAAGATCTTGTAGAATTCAATAGAGGTGGGTTTGCTTTCCTCAGCTCCGGGAAGGGATCCTCATTGGGATCTGCACGTTCATCGCCGGGATCGAAAAGCGTAGAAGAGAAGTTTAGAGCGTTGGGAGCATTGGGGGCAGATTCGTCCATTCTAAAATAAAAATGCTACATTGTCAACCTAGTGAATAACTAGTGAATAACTAGGTTGACAACACAACTAGGTTGTCAACCTAGTTGTACACTAGGTTGTCTATGTATCATTTTTCATATATTCTTTATACCTAAAATAGTGAAATTATAAACATTAGCCTGTCTCTTACCTAGTTGTGCTACATTAGCAAAACTTGGACCCCCTGCATGATAAAGCTATGGGCTAAAAGTTGTGTTGGAAAAAGCTGTGGAATTGGTTTTGGATTCGGACTAAAATTTAGAATTATTTTATTAATTGATTTAAAAATAAAATATTTGGTATGATAAAGTATTGATGAATGTTGGATTTAAAAAAAAAATTATAAAAAAATACAATACAATTAGGTGGCCATTCAAAAAGTTTAAAATAATTAGAAATCTCCGATTATCCAAACCGAATTGAACCGTTCCGATAGTCCCGACAACCGAACCAACCGAAATGAAAGATGAAAATACCCGAACCGATTTTTTGGTACAGTTCCGGAGATTGAATTTAATAATCTCCGGTACGATTCCAAAAATTTGTCAATATTCGAACTGTACCAACTCATGCTCACTCTATTAGATAGTTGTGCAACATTAGTAAAACTTGTACCACATGTATGATACAGTTGTGGGCTAAAAGTTGTTTTGTAAGAAGTTGTGTAATTGGTTTTGGATTTGGACTATAGATCTTTGTTATCTGTTCTTGATAGTTGACAATTTAATTGTACGTTGGCTTTGAGAGGTCTTCAATAGTTCAGCTTTAATCCCCTCCCTCTATATATTAATTCAGAACGCGTTGAGCCTACGTGGCTGCTTTTAGTGCTTCGGAATCCTACGTGGCAAAATTACATGCTTCGTTATTAGATTTGGGTAAATTTTAATTTAATTCCAACCAAAAAATAATTAGGTTCGGATTATCATAAATATGTTGATTATTTATGATCATGTTACATGTATGAATTGCATTTTAATATCATTTCTTATTATAACTATTGAATTGTATATATATTTTAAAAGTTAATAACTTTTGTATTTTTTATCAGTTTTACATATGTAATATATCAAATTAATCTTCTTTTGATGAGCTTTGATTTAACATCCATATTGTATGTATAAAAAAATAATTTATATTTATCCTTATACCAATAATAAAATTATTTTTAATATTAATTAGAAAAATAAAATTATTTATCAACTAATATATTTATATTTCAAGTAGTTATATGATATAAGTTATAAAAACTAATATAATTTAACACATGTAAGTCATAAGTAACACATATCATTCTAAAATATATAGTAATATATTTTTTTAAAAAAAAGTAAATTAAATTTAATATAGTTTTCTCATTAATTTTAAAATTTAAAAATAATATTTTAACATGTACCCGTGTAATACACGGGTGTTGTACTAATACTTTTTTTTTATTGTAAATACCTCATCTACGTAACAGCTTCGGGGCTCGTTTACGTATTGGGATGGGAGAGATTAAATTATGTACTGTTTAGATTAAATTATCTCATGTTTACTAGCTGTGGTAGTATATTTTTTACGAATTGAATTGTTTTTATCGAGCGTTTACATTCAGGGACAATTTGAAAAGATAAACTCGATATTCACGTTCAATACCAAAAAAGTCCCACAAAAGTGATGATAAATTTTAAAGTTGGGGACAATTGAGTAATTTTCATCGGGACGCTTAAATCCCACATGTTGTGCCTTGACAGAACTATCACCAAAAGTGATGATAAATTTTAAAACCCATCGGGCTAATTCGGGTTCATAAACGGGCCACAATCATTCCAAAAATAAAGAAAGAAATTGATCAGTTGTACTAGTTGAGATATCTAAGCTCATCTTCCAAAGTAAACCGACCCTCAAAGATTAAGGGTGTGATTGTTTATCAATCCACTTCAAAAAAATTCAATTAAAACTCAAATTTAACTCAACTTTAACTCAATCAACTATCTCCAATATTATCAATATAATTAAATAATATCAATCAATCATCCAACCAATCATTCTTATATATCACATCAACTTTAATTCACTATTCATCTACTCACATAATTTTAACTAACTATCCCATCCAATCATTTTTCTCTTACTTTTACATCATATCAATTTTAATTATTTTATTTTAATTATTACTTTAATATATCTACTAACAACTAACCATACTGACTTTTTGCAAAAGTAACTATGATTAAAAAAACTAGTTAAAAACTAGATGAATTCATAAACAATCACCCCCTAACAGGTGGAGTACTAAGGGCAAGATTGTTTATAAAATATTTCATCCAAAATATTTCATTTTGGTTAACTATTGTTAAAGTTGAAAAAGTAGTTTGGTTGATTATTAGTGAGATTTAAAAAATATATGAAAATAATATTTAAAATAAAATAATTAAAATTGATTTGATATAAAGTATATAAAATGATTAAAATTGATTTGATATAAAGTAGTAAGAGATAAATGATTGAAAATGATTGGTAGTTAAAATTATGTGAGTGGATGAATAGTGAATTAAAGTTGATGTGATGTGTAAGAATGATTGGTTTATATTATTTAATTATATGAATAATATTAAAGATAGTGGAGTTGAGTTAAAATTGAATTAGATTTTGAGTTGAAAATATTTAAGGTGAAATATTTTGTAAACAATCACCCCTAACTCATGTAGTAACACATAAAAACAACATGTTACATCGTTTTGTGCTTATTATAGTAACCATTAGTCTTGAATTTCTGAAAGTCTCATGCATCAGAAAAATAGTTGTGCTCAATCATTACTTTGTTCAATTTCTTCATTGGATCGAGCTCAGAAGTTTGAAAGTGTTATAGCTTTTGACACTTAACCATTGTATCTTTGGGGACGAGACATATTACTCAGTCAACATACATATTACGGGCATATTCGTCTTGCAGTACAAGCTACTCTTGTCTGAGCTTATTCTCTTCCAGCTGCATACAAGCTTAATAATTCATCGTGTTATTAAGTGCAATTTTATTTCTAGTTTACATTAATTTGAACTGAATATAGCAACTTCAGTTGAGTAGCATTCTGCTGTATCGACATCCATTTTGTAATAATCAGAGATCGAGAGTTGGAAAAAAATCAAAAAATTGAGAGAACTATATATAGGACCCATTTTACTCGTTTGACACATTATGTTATTATACACATATCACATAATATTTTTTTTTTTTTTTTGGTAGCTAACGGTATTCGAAACTATGCCCCAACTAATCGATTGATCGACCTGGGTCGCACACCTGGCAGTGGTGGGTGAGTCTCCCAACAAGAATTTTCTGCATACACAATGACTCGAACCAAAATGAATAACTATTAAACTTACGTCATTTGTTTGTCATGCTTGTGTCATCCTATTATGTTTCCATATAATTAGTAACTTAAAGTTCTTAGTAAGTCCAAGAAACTTCTCGAAAAGCTGGCAAACTGTGATGTAAATCGAGCGTTTGTGGTCATATGAATCGAAATATCTGTTTTTGAAAACGTTAAAAAAATCGAGCGTCACAAACGTGCACCTGACAAAAATCACTTCTCTGTAAAAAAAAAATAAAAATAAAAATAAAAAAAAAATAAATTAATTATGCGACCTACAATTACTCAAAATTTACGGCGTCTTCTGTTTAGACTTTAGCAAGTAACCTAATTTTTTTCTTAAAAAAAAAAAAATTACATCAAACATATTTTCATCTCTAAATTACAGAAGTTGGTGGGGTTAAGTTATCAGTATTCTTTACATGTTAACGTGGCGTACAATTCTCTTCCATACGGATATATCTACCTGAAGAAAAATAAAATAACATAATTAAATTGCTCAATGTATAAATAAGGTTAACGTACAACGGGGTTTGTTGTGTACAGATAAACAGCCTTTCTCTTCTATTAGACCAAAGTCATATCCACCTTCATCTAACACTCCTTAATATCCCTTTCTACAACGTTAAAAAATCTGAATAAAATCCATCGTCTAGCAAGACTAGTCCATCTCGATTTTGTGATAATGGCTTCCGTCGTATCGGAATTCGAAGGAACCCTCTTAAAAAACCGCGACGTTTTCTCCTACTTTATGCTCATAGCATTCGAGGCTTCTGGGCTTATCCGGTTCGCCTTGCTTTTGGCCCTATGGCCCGTTATACGTCTCCTTGAGGCATTGGGCCGAGAGGATGACGGTCTCAAGCTCGCCATTTTCGTGGCCACTGCCGGGTTGCCTCTGTCTGAGATTGAGGCCGTGGCCCGAGCCGTTTTGCCCAAGTTCTTCATGGATGATGTCGATATCGAGGCATGGGGAGTTTTTAGCTCGTGCGATAAACGGATTGTCGTGACTCGAATGCCTAGAGTTATGGTGGAGATGTTTGCGAAGGAGCATTTGCGTGCGGATGGCGTTGTCGGGAGTGAGCTCTCGACAAATCGATTCGGGTTGGCCACGGGTTTTGTGAGGGACGATTTTGGCTCGATAGGTAAAGGTGTTGCTAGGCTGTGTGGGGATGAAGAGCCTTGCTTGGGGCTAGGGATGCCGGATTCTCGTTGTGCCTCGTTGTTCCTACCGTTGTGTAAGGTGAGTTGCTAAATACCCTTAATACTGTAATTATATTTTATCTTATTAAATCATGTTTTCCTTACTATATCACGTAAATTAAATCCACAACTTACAGGAACGACTCCACCCGCCATTTACCAGCGCTGCCACAACCCGCAGGCCCCGCCCCGTGATCTTCCACGACGGCCGCCTCGCCCTACGGCCAACCCCCTCGGCCGCCCTCCTCATCCTTCTCTGGATCCCCATCGGCTCCCTCCTCGCCCTAGTCCGCATCTCCCTCGGCCTCCTCCTCCCCATGCACGCCACCCGCGCCGTTGCCCCTCTCCTAGGGGCCCGCGTCACGGTCCGTGGGTCCCCACCGCCGCCCGGCCGAGGTGGCGGGGTCCTCTACGTGTGCACCCACCGCACCCTCATGGACCCCGTCGTCCTCTCGTCCGTCCTCGGCCGCCGTGTTCCTGCCGTCACCTACTCCATCTCCCGCCTCTCCGAGATCCTCTCACCCATCCCCACCGTCCGCCTAACCCGGGCCCGCGAGGTCGACGCTCGCCGGATCAAGCGCCAGCTGGACGGCGGGGACCTCGTTGTCTGCCCCGAGGGGACCACGTGCCGGGAGCCCTTCCTCCTGCGGTTCAGCGCTCTATTCGCGGAGCTGACGGACCGGATCGTGCCAGTTGCCATGAACTACCGGGTAGGGTTCTTCCATGCGACCACGGCACGCGGGTGGAAGGCCATGGACCCGATATTCTTCTTCATAAACCCGAGGCCCGCGTACGAGGTGACGTTTCTCAGCCAGCTGCCGGCAGAGGCCACGTGCGCGGCGGGGAGGAGCCCGCACGACGTGGCAAACTACGTGCAGAGGATACTGGCGGCCACGCTGGGGTTCGAGTGCACCAATTTCACTCGGAAGGATAAGTATAGGGTTCTTGCAGGCAACGACGGGATCGTGGCGCCGGGGTCGTCTTTCTCGGTGAAAAAAATTGTTGATGGTTTCAAGGAGTTGGTGGGCGCGAGTTTTGTTATTCCATAGGGGTGTCAAAATTGAATTAAATTAAGGGAAATGCTACGGTCACATTACCATACCATCCTGTCGGGTGTTTTAACCATTTAATAATTATCTATCTTATCTAATTACATGTGGATCAAACAATTAAAACACCAGATATAATAGTACCGAGCATTTCCTTTAATTAAGTTGGAGTATTTTTTTTTTTTTTGTATTTGTCTTTTTTATTTTCCTCTCTTTGAGGATTTTACTTTTTTCGTATGTGTTTTATTTATTTATTTTATTTACTTGAATTGTTGTAAATTATATTGCAATTACACATTGTATTATTGAGGTGTGTAATTGACGTCGTGTATATTAATTATAATTTTTCATTAATAATTCCAATAGCTTCTCATCTTTATTTGGAAAACTATTTGGGATTTTGGTGTATATGGTTAGTGAATTGTACTCGTAGATCAAATCAATTTTTATTTTTATTTTTCGAAAGGATATAAGTAGATTAAATCAAATCTGTATCCGTTGTTTGAATAAAACAATCTTGATAATCCGTTGTTTGAATAAAGCAATATAAACACTTGAATAGTGTGGGTCGTCAACTATTTCACGGTTTTGATTTTAATTCCGGCAGGTTCGGATTTTTTTTTTTTTAAAAAAAATAATATCAAAATGTGATTTACTAGTTACTTTAATATGATTTTTAAAAAACCTATTTATAAATATTTATATTTTTTGAAAATAATATTATTTTTCCACCAAAAAACATGTTTTAATTAATATAAATCTTTATTATTAGCATGAGATTGACTTGAGAGTTCGAGACTCTTCACTGAAAAACTCCTCCGGTGTAAGAGTTTGTGCAAGTGGCTGACGTTCTACTGACGAGGACAACAAAGGCGAACCGATTCTCAGCCGTTCGGAGCATTGACGTGCATGCATTATATATATTATCCACTTTTATTATATTAAATAGAGTATCATTAGACTTAATCTATTTTTTATATTATAATTAAACCTACTAAATATTTAAAATAATATATGTGTAATTATTTAACTAATCATATTGAGCTTGTAATTTTATTTTTTTTTTTATATATATTAATCATATTGGCCTTCTAATAATTCTACATATTTTTGTGGTTAAATTATTATTAAAAAAAAAAGTAAAATATCTGTAGTAATATAAATGACCATTATAGATAATTAATTATTATGTAAAAACCTATAACAATAATAATAATATTTATATATATAAAATGATTCATAACTTTATAGTAATTTGTGGGCTTAATAGAAAATTAACGTGTTTAATACTTGTGGGCTTCACATAATTTTTAAGATTTGGGAAAAATTTATAACTGCCCTTTTTTAATAAAAATTTTACAAACCAGTTATTAGCCATACACAGTTCCCAATCTACTCCAAACAGTACACAAAATTGCTTGAATAGAAAGTTACATCATTTCAAAATTCAACTACTCTCTCTTTCTCTCTCTTATCTAACTGCTCTCTTTCTCTCTCTTATTTCTCTCTTATATCTCGTTTCATTCTTTTCTCT